TGTATATCTGTTAAATTAACAGAAATTTGTAATTTTCTTAGAAATATTCCTAACAATTGAAATTTTCCAGGAAATACTTTCCCTTTCCTTCCAGTTAGGTTGAATTTTTTACCTTGCACCTTTTTTCTTTACTATCCCTTTAATATCTATTTTCTTTTTAATATTGTTTCATCATTTTTCTTATTTCATTTTTGATACTTACCTTTCTTTTAGTTTTTTAATTGTCATTTTCTTTCCACCATTTTACTTCTTTCTTCTTTTTTCTTTCTTTCCTTCCTTTTGTTATTTCTTATTCATTATTTTTCTTATTTTTCTTGTTTTTTATTTTTTATTTTTAAAAATCTCTTCTCTTTTTCTTTCATGTCTTTTTTCTTGCATAATAATCCATGGGGACAGTGTAGGTGTGGGTGGGTGGGGGTTTGTTAGGAAATATAAAGAATAAAATATTGCACAGCGCTTATTATCTTAGGGGATGCAAAAAGGATGGAGAAATATGTGCTACTAAAAAAATTACTTGTGCTACCAAATTTTTTTTGGGAGGTGCCAGAAAATTTTGGCAGTGCTACCGAGAAAAAAAGTTAATTTCAAGCCCTGCATGGTGACGTTATTTACCGTCTTGCATTGGAGGTCAAAACATGCGCATTTTGAAGAAAATGTATGCAAGTGTCTGCCGATTAATGAATCACCGAAAGCGAATCCACCAACTGATTAAAGATTTAACACACAACGTTGCTGTTATATTAACACACAACAGAAGTTAATGATCAAAATCCAATTGATTACCACTACTTATACATAGGCCACTTATACCATCATATACATTTTAAATACGGTAACCAATCATTGATCAATCAACTTTTTCCTGGAACGTTCATCGTCTTGTAATTCTATAGGTACCTTTATTATCATACATACAAAATTATTGTGATGGAAGGTTAATTAATTATATATTTTATTCCAAAATACAAATAAATTTTCTTCTTGATAACTTACAAATTTAAGTAAATTATTAAGTGAAATACTTTAACTAAAAATTATGCTATTAACATTTTTATTAGTAATCGTTATTTCAATCGGTATTCAATTCCCCTGTACCACCACCTAACCCGCGGTCAACGTTGCACTGGTACTGTACAGCGACATCCAATTAACGCTTTGATTATACACTACACGGCGTTCCATACAATAACCCTTATTTAGGCATTGAATATCTTAAGGCCGAAACAGTCCTACACCGCCTAGGCCTAGTCCTTCTTACTAGACCTAGTATCACGATCAAAAAAGGTCATGAGTGATGATCCATACCGCACCCTCATCACATACTACAGACAGTGGCGCCCAAACAGTGTGGCCTACTATCTAACTAATCCAGTACTTAGGCAGGAACTAGCCGCCTAGCCTAGGGCCTAGCCTATGTCGTTACATACCTGTGGCAGTTTGAGTAGGATTCCAGCCATCTGTATGAACTCGCATCCTAAAATTCTAAGATCAGTTTCTGTTTCTATATCTAACCCATCAAGAACTGAGGGTGTTGGGGAAAGTTTTCCGGATGGTATTATACAATTTTCAAGCGTGATGACAACTCTTCCGTAGGTTTTTTCTTGGCCATTAACAGAGTTAGCCTCTGTCTTCGTATCCGCCATGCTTGCTCCCTTTCAACAATCGACGTTTGGTCAACGACGACGGGAAAAGCTCACAATCAATAGGCTTAGGTATATTCCTCCGCGAAAAATTTGAAGTCAATATGAAATTGCAATTAAATTGTAATTTAGATGTTTCTCATTTAATGAGAATATAAGATAAAAGTACAATAAAAAGTATAACCATTACTGATCAAATAAACTATTCTAGTATAGAATAATAAAGAACTATATTTTTGTGGTTGAGTCCTGTGACGACGACACTGACCGCAGCAGCAGCAGCTGAGAGATGTGAAATCAAATCAAACACTGAACACTATGGAACGCCAAAAGGGCAACTTTCAAACACAGTCGATTTTCAAGCACACTCTAGCTGCCAAGGTAGGCCTATCTGGCAAGGTATATGGGGAAATGATATCGACTGTACGATATATCATATTATATCCAGTGGTGAATTAAGGTCGGGGCAGCAGCAATTTTTATTTTTAATGGATGAAAATAAAATTATTTTCAAATGTTAAGTCTGTGAGTACCATTTCCGGTCATGAGGTTCCATAATCATAAATTTAGTCTTACCTTAGCCCTAACCATGGACCTATTAATAAGAGGGCTTTGGTGGTACCTACATAGGCCTATGTGAAAGGTTACAGCGTTTTTAACGAAGCCACTAGGACTGACTTTTCCGGAGGGTTAAATCCATGAAATTATGTCATGCCACCTATAACCTTTCTTGTCTTTATGTAGCGTGTCACATGCAATGTATCAGAGATTTTCTTTTACTGTAAACTGCCTCGTTGAATGGAACAGTCAATCTTTCAATTCATGAAAATATGCTTCCCATTGCACTCCTAAACATTCATTATTTTTATACTATTTCATCTATTTTTTCGTTAAACACCAGCGGCGTAACTACCGCAGGTTCAACAGGTTCATTGAACACGGGCCCCCGAGCTCCAGGGGACCCCGATCTATATAGAAAAAAAATCTAATAAATAGAAGTCTTTTATTGTGACATTGAACTTCTGCATCTGCTACCTTTCAGAGAACATGTGGCTTTCAGAGACCATGGGGTCCATTTTTGGCTCTAACTGAAATCACGTCCGCCGTTATACATCAAGGGATAATCAGGGCCATGGGAACCCCACCGGTTGGCCGTACCACTTTTTCTCAATTATAATATAACATTTTAAATAAATATATACGGATACCTATAAAATAATTATATGAATTTATTATTAATGTTCGCATCACATTGTCTTTTTATATATTTAAACAAAAATTCACCATGCTTTGTTTTTGTATTGCCTATGTACATTTCAATGTTTAACAATATTTAATTTTTATAAGTTAGATGAGTTTTTAAAAATATTTAGAGGTATAAATATAATAACAATGAAATATTTATAAAATTTTGAGAGTTGGGCAAACAAGTAAAATTAAAATTGTACCAGCAGTTACTCGAAACTCTATGGTATTCATTAGTTTGCTTATTTTTAAATATAATGATAGCATATCGCATCGTGTATTCGTAACACATGTTTTATCTGACATATTGTTTATATTTCACGATACCCAGCACGTATAGTTGGCAGTTATTCATTGTACAATATACAATGTATTAAATAATGCACAGCGTATTGTACACCTGTGCATTCATAACAAACATTTTTTATTAATCTAGGCCTACATCATTGTATACATTATGTAAACAACTCAATTCATCTAGTTATGGCAGTGATAAGAGATTAAATTTTGAACAAGTTATCACCTCGCACAATTAGCCATGATTTTCCAACAGTGCGGGGCAATATCAGGGTGGACCCACTTTACGTGTAAAGACAAATATTATGGACCCATTTTCTTAAAAGTTGACCCATTCTACGCAAAAATATGAACAATGTGGACTTATTTATTTAAAGTTTTACATATTTTAAGCTAAATATGAGAAATATGGACCAATTTTTCAAAAGTGGACTCATTTTATGCATAAAACTACATAATTTGGATCCATTTTTTAAAAATGTGGACCCATTCTTTATGGGCCTATTAGAAAAATTGTGTGAGACTGTCCCAACTCTCCGAATAGCTGGCTACGGCATCACTTTCGCAATAGACCTACATTGATTTAAAATAGGCCTACGAATTGTTAATTGGTCATTATTGTTATATATATATATGTTTAAGCTAGGTGCTTTTCTGGGCCCACTCTTAAACATTATTTACAGGGCATTTTTTGAGTATAGGCCTAATGTTTCGGAGTTATACCGGAAGAATAGGATGCCCTGAAACTTAAACTCTTAAAAAAAAAAAAAAATCTCCCTGTGTGAGGGTCATTCATGAACATTACATGCACGTGCACCCCCGCTCCAGGCGACCAAGTGAGCTATGCGGATCGGTCTTCTGAGAACATAACAAAGGCATCCAGTCCAGTCGTTCGGACAAACCCCGTCTGGGAAGAAAGGTCACAAAATACTACAGTGTCCTGACTTACAATGCATGCTAACCTACCTATAGGCATAGGTTGACAGATCGGACAAACTATAAGTAGCCTTCAATTAAATAAAATTAAAAACACTGTTTTGGTTCAACGTCGTAATGTATTATGTAAGGAAAGTGGCCCATCGGTCCATCTATTGTAGAATACAGTGTAAATTATTGTTAGAATATAATAATATATTGCCTGTCTTAGATTTTTATAGGCCTAAGAATGAGTTACCTGACCTTTTTCAAGAGGGGGAAAACCTTGAATTTTGAAGAACTTAAAAGTCATTAAGACACCTCAAAAGTCAAGAAAGCCCATTTCCGGGCATCTAGGAATTCTCCCGGGCGTGGACCCCCTTTAATTTGGGCTTTTTGGAAACCTTTCGAACCCCCTCTTTTCAGGAATTCGATCCAACTCGGCCACAAGTCAACTCGGCCACAGTCAACTCGGCCACAAGTCATCTCGGCCACAAGTCAACTCGGCCACAAAAAATTTGGCTACGGTCAACTCGGCCACAAGTCAACTCGGCCAAAAGTCAACTCGGCCACAAATCAACTCGGCCACAAGTCAACTCGGCCACAAGTCATTTACTGGTACTACACTTTGAAGGATTAATTCATCAAGTATAAAATACTAATTCTTTAAGTATTAATATACTTATTGTTATTATTATTGCTGTTATTTTTGTTGTCATTGTTGTTATTATTATTGTTGTTTTTATTACCGTTAGTTTTAATATTAATTATTAGTCTTGGCATTAACATTATATATTATTTAATTTTTTTTGACATTATTATTGTTACCATATAAATAATAAAATATTATTCTCGATTTTTTTTATTCATATTATCACGTACTTTATTTCAATCATATATTGAAGAAAAATGATGCAAAAACTGAGATTTACATTAAAGAACTTGTGGCCGAGTTGACTTGTGGCAGATTTGACTTGTGGCCGAGTTGACTTGTGGCCGAGTTGACCTGCACCCCCTGACTGTACCTATTTATATTTGGAGCCTTAATAAAATAATCTCTGTGAATACAATATTTGTTGGCAGTACAAAAATGTTTCTCATTTTATATCTACTAAAGATCAAACCCCCAAGGAATAGCAGCAATGTTTATCATTTTAAATGTCCAGGTTGTAATAGTGATTATATTGGCAAGACAAATAGATGCTTAATAACTAAACTTAAAGAACATTCTTCTGATGGTGTTACAAATGATCATATACAAAATAGTGAGGCATTCCAATATGTTTTAGGTTTATAAGGTATACCTGAAAATGATAATGTAGCCTGTAATGTAAGTAATAAATTAGGTTTAATATTTTCTAATACTAAAATTATTGACAGTTCGCAAAATTGGTCAATACTATTGCTTAAAGAAGCGTTTGCTATACGTAGGCTACACGGGTGGGGTACTGTATGCACGTAATGTGTATTATGTACATTATTTGTGTGGGGAGGGTGAGGGGGATGTTTATGATTTATTTTAGATCTAAGTTGTATTTTCTTTCGTTAAGTTCTTTCATTTGTTTAGCTTTAAGTTGTTGTTCTACTCTTTGTTCATAAGTTCTTTCATTTGTTTAGCTTTAAGTTGCTGTTTTACTCTTTGTTCATTAGTTTAAGTTTGACTGCGCCACTTTCTTGTGTGCTGCCACTGATGTAAAAGTGTAATGTCAATAAATATTATTATTATTACACCCATTCAAAGGAGCTTTCTTTGTTTTTGTAGGACTTTGATCAGTAGGGTAAGGATGCTTTGATCTTCAGTTTATTCATATAGCTAGTGTCACCTACTAGGGGTAATGTTTTGATTGGTCAAACACTTTTGGTACTTGTGCATGTAAGCTTGCAAATGGATAATTTTTCATTCCTGATGATGACATAATTAATGTCGAAATATTGAATCCCGACACGATGGCGTGCATTTCGATACTTGGAGTATGTATTATACTATCTTTTATCTGAGATAATCAGTGGACCTTTCGGTTTTTAAATTCCACCTAATTTAACAAAAACAATAAGATACTTAGTTAGGCTATTTATTAAAGTAAAGTTCTCATAAGGTTGACTACAAATAGAACATTGTATAATAAAAACCTTTTCGTTTGTGAAACAAAATGGTAGACTAGGTCAAATATATTATATTAAACAGTGGCGGAGCCCAGCCTCTTCACAGGCCCCCCACCCTCCTAAATCTTTCAAAATTATTAAACAAAAAAATTATATTCAAATCTCAGAGTGCCATTTCCGTCCATCTAGAGGTGCCATGTTTTTCTTACCTCAGCCCCAACATGGTGGGGCTGAGGCAGGTGGACATTCTATCTGTGTAAGTCCCTCGCTGGGCCCCCTCTATTCAACTTCGTGGACCCGCCATTGTTGAAGTAATGGTAATATTTATACGTCAGGAGATAAGACATGGTTTCATCTGGGAATACCAGTATTCAGTATATTATTTTATTGTCATTTGTAAAAAAAAAACATTTTCACCACATCAAGGATGCCCCCCACCCCCACTCCGCTTCACATGATGAATAGTTCATTGTGATCGTGGAAGCAATCTCGACTTCGACTTTGTTTGAAAAATACAACAATTATGAAGTCATATATTACAGTAGCTTGATGCCAAAATAACTAATACAATTCACCAAACTTTATCAAATATCCGTAGCCTTTAGGGGGCTTCGTCCCCTGGACCCCCACCGGGGCCCATGGCGGCCCTCAGGCCCCCAGCCTATATGCTCGCTACCCTTGATTTATTACTTTATGAAATTCCCCTTCCCCCACTTTCAGAAATGTTCCGCCGCCGTTGTCTGCATCTGTTTAAATATACATATATAAGGCCAAATAAAAAAACATTATTGTGTTGGCCACGCCCGACCGACCCAAATTTTACGAAATTCAGGGTCGGCATTTTAGCTTTATTTATTTTATTTATTTTTTTTACTACAAGGAACAATCATTTTTTTTCGTGAGCTTGTAAGGCTGGAATATACCTTGGACTAGGATGGGGGGAGGGGGAGGGGGCAAGGCCTATAGCCTTGGTGCATGGTATGCGATGCGAATCCAAAATTGTTGTATTATTTGTCATATTCCAACTGTCCCACTTTCGGCAGGATTGTCCCACTTTTCGGAGTCGTGTCCCGCTGTCCCGCCCAAACCCCCGAATTGTCCCGCTTGTCAACTTTTATAAATTAAAAATAATCGCGATAATACCAAGACTAAACTCCAGGAGGATACACTCTTGAATATATGGCCCTCGCGGACGACGAGGCGCCGTGTTAATATTATAGCAGGCCCGTACTCTCACATGCTCTCCAGAAATCCATCCACCAAAAATGCTTGACCAATCAGAGCAGTTTTCAACTAGGACTGCCTCTAATTTGTCGTAGGCCTACAAGCAAGGCCTTCTAACTGTACTTAAGCTTTTTTGAGTAATTTTAGAGTTTTTCCCGCCGTTGCGTGTCAATTAACTCGCCACGTACAAAACTTATCTTCTCTCCCTATATATAGGTTTATCTTTATTCCCGTTTAAGTCTGCGACTGCCCTTCGGTTATCTAGAGGTACCGTATAATTAATTTTCTTTTCATCAACCCCAACCATGGCGGGGTCGGCTGTGGTGGGTGGACCCTGGCCAATGTGAAAATCGACCGTCCCTGGACCACCCCTCCCCCTCTATTTCGAATTCCTGAATCCGCCACGGCCCCATACAGTGTATTTGGACCCGAAGAGTGTGGACGTATTCGCTTAAAAACAACAACAGTCCGATTATTGCTTTCCCTACCCTGTTCCCAATCAGATCAGTATATAGGCATATTTTATGAATTCTCGATTTTTAAAACATTTTTGACATCACCCATCTCATCCACTACGTAAAGCGCTTGTCATTATTTTGTTCATATTCGCATTTTCCATTAATTTCATTTATTCATAATATAACATTTTGTGGTAAAAAATTAATATTTTCAACCTAATAATATAGCTTTTTTCATTGTGCTCTAGACCTACATTTATTTCTTTTATGTTTAATCTATTAATGTTTTATTTACCTTGTTTTATAACTTTACATATGCAGTGAAAATCTAAAACACCACGTGGTTGGAAGCGGCACGTTTCACATCTGGGCTATGTGTATGTCCAATTTGTAGGGATTTATTTTACTCCAACCTCCATTTATTTACAATTCTTAAAATTTTAACCATATTAATGAACGTTAATTAGTATAATTAATGACATTTCCACGGTGTTTTTAATTAGATTGATTTAATTTTGTACAGATCAGTTTCCTTAACATAGGACCTATCAAAGTTCATATTCATCGTTAGGCCATCAACATTTTTGATAGACCAGCCTGCAGAACATTTGAAAATAAGGATATGAATATAATAATAATAGCGTTTGCTCTCAAAACAATTTGCATTTTGGTCACCTTTCCACAAATTCGCACCCACCCAATAAAAATCCTGCGTACGGGCCTGAGAGCGATATGAAAGAGATGTTTATATCAGTTAAAATATTAGGCCTATGTGTTTGTTTATTTTATGTTTTTTTTTCTTATTGTTGTTATACTTGGTCGATATTGTATACACATATGTAAATATATATATTTTTTCTTGATGCGATGTTTCTCTTCATTTTTAATTTCTGTATGTTCTGTATGTTGCATTAGAATAAAGTGATGAAAAATTATATATTTTTATACATCTTTTTTGTTTTCCTCCTGTAACTCTCTCTTTTTGCCAATGTCCCTAGTTCTCTCCATTGCATATCTTGTAATGGGCGAGTTTAGGGCTTCCCTCTGTACTTTTATCGATTCGTTTTTTTTTTTCTTGATGCGATGTTTAAAATTCTTCATTTTTCAATTCTGTATGTTCTGTATGTTTGAATAAAGTGAAGGTTTTGATTGCTGCATTTCTGCTTCATTTTTACTTATTTTATTAAGTTTTTCCACTGATCCAAACCTCCGATAAAGGCCACCGACGTACTCATTTCTTTGATTTTCCCTAAACGTGCAACACAATTGTATTTTGGACTAATTAAACTGTATTGAATATTCTAGCTCCATACATTATCGAAACACGAGCTGTTACTGGACCGGTTGGGCGCACCCCAGTCTGTGCTGGCCCAGAAGGGTCTCCTGGCGAAACTGCTAGTCTTCCCCAGGCACTAATAATATGCCTATAATGTTCTGAATGAATGTTTCAACATGGTGTTGCTATTTGAGATATAAATTAATTTTTGTGTCTTTGCATTTTATTCTCCTCGCGGTTTCAAAAATATTAAGTACTGTAGGCCTAACAGTACTCAAAAAAAGTTGGCCTTCTGAAATATATCTTAAAATTAAGAAATTCAAAGGCCAGGTCAATGATATAAACATCGGTATGTGCGATTAGTGCTAGGGAATATACAATTATGAAGATTTGCTTGATTATTATTATTTTCAAACTCAAAAGAATTCATATGTAGATAAAGTTCTTTTCCGCATTATATATTTAAATTTTAAATTGATTAGGCCTACAAGGAACCAAAGCAAATGTCATCCAAGCAAATTAATGTCATTGTACAGGTATGTACATGTATGTGAACCGTAGAGTACTTCAGTGGTGACGACGCACGTCTGTCTCTCTCTATGGTGGTGTGGAGCTAGCTCTGAAATGAATGTTGACCTTTTCAGGGTCATAGAACAGAAATCCTCCCGGTCGAAAAAAAAAAGAAGCGGTTGCGCGTGGTTCGATCTGCTACCAAAGCTGAATTGATTGAATTTTCAACAGCACCATTCTAATAACAGTAATAGTTTACAGGTAATAAATTTAGGTGTTACTTTAATGAGGAAAGTAGGCATACTATTACTAGCCTTAGCTAGGGCTTTGCTCGACGATCGATAGGATAGAATAGAAGGGTAGGCCCCCTACCTAGGCCTCAAAACACTAGGCCTAGCTAGCCTAGGCCAAATTATAATAGGCCTAGGCCTACGTACACCGCTGCATTCAAGTGGCATAGGCCTGGGATCTCCTAGTTAGGCCCTAGCCAGGTCGTGGTATGAGGCCTAGTCTAGCTAGCTGTACAGACAGATCTAGCTACTAAAGGCCTGTCTTAGGCTAGGCCTAACCTAGAATAGGACGTCTTTCTAGCTAGGGCCAGGCTCCAACAAAAACACTAGCTAGGGCCTAGGCCTAGCCTAGGCTCAAGAAGGCCTTCCTAGCTAGGCCAGCCTAGTTGCTTAATGCTAAGAGCATATCTGTTTAAGGGCCTGTTCTAGCTCAATTTATGGAGAAATATTGTGTTCCCTTGGTTAGTGTTGGCCTAATGATCAATTCTTTTGTTGTTGAGTACTTTATTCTTTTTGATTACTTGATATTAAGTACAGGTAGGCATTCCTGATCACTATATTTTTTTAATTTTGCCATACCTGAACGATTGTTCGTTTATACCCTGCAAGGGGTCGTATATAGTTAAAGGAAGTGGATATATTTACGTCGCCGTAAACAAATCAGTAAACGATATATTTACGTAAATGAAACAATGCATGTGCAGTTGTTTATTCCACGTTCTGCATCCATACTTCATAGACACATGCACAGCATGCCAATGTAGTTTTGTACGCTAGCTGTACGCCTAGCCGATATGCAGTGGGGGCTGCAGTGTGGCAAAGGAAAGTCTTGTTTTTCTGAGCATGTGCAGATTGTGCTTATCTGGCTCATTAGCATCACAGTACCACACATAAGGCTAATTCAAGTTAGACGGCTTAAACCAGCCAGCTTCCTATCCTGGTAACAGTTTTGATGCTCGACTAAAGACTATAACGATGTTATTTTTGTTAGTGAAGACGTGGGTAAATGTGTTTGAATGAAAACAATGTTATTTAATTTGTGATGATTGACTATCGTATAACAATACAGATAGGCTTGATTTCGTGGTAATTGATCCTTGTATTTAGGTCAAGTGTGTTCATTCAACAAATGATTGAGTAAAATGAACATAACATTTCCAGCTCATAATATCACTTTTATTTGAAAAGTTAACACAGTGATTTAATAATTTATTTAGTGATTAAACTACATACTCTGCTGTTGTAGAAAATTAAATTACGTTTAATAAAAAATAAAAAAACAAATTAATTAGTGCTGTGGTGAACTTGGGGCAATCACTGCGGCTTGGGAGGCCACGCTAATGTCGAGTGCTGAAAATGCAAGTTTATTATTAAAGTATGACTGCGCATGCGTTATTATTTAATGTAAATATATCGTTTAATGATTTGTTTACGGCGACGTAAATATATCCACTTCCATAATTAAAATAATTGTCAAAATATGTCATTGTCATTATGTAGAATGAATGGTGCTACAAACCACAGTGTGAGTGGAGGATCTGCAGTTCAAGAAGAAAACAGTGAGACGGCTGCTTCAGGTATCACAGAGAAAATAGTGATTCTAGATGCTGGAGCCCAGTATGGAAAGGTGACAACTTTATGTGAAAATGTATACAGTGTCCTTATGGTAGCAGATGTTGAATTGCAGAGAAATATTGTTTTATTTGATAAAATGAATTATAAGTCATCACTTTCATTTACACATAATTTTCCTATCCCCGATCAATCACTAATTCGATATAGTGCCTCCTATTTTTTGAGTTTCGTGTGCAAAAAGTTCAAAGCTGGGGTGATTTTACATCGCTTAGAATATTTCGTGCTAGACCAAGCTATGAACACACACAGCAAACCGGACATGTGTCGCTCTACGGCGATGGTTAACATGAATGAAGCCTAGACTGTCCTAGGCAAGACATAGAAAGGCATAATGATTATGACAAAGCAAGGTGATTGACTTAAAAAGAACTGAAAAGAGAAAGCAACGCCGAAATAATTCATAATAATGTTTACAATACATTTTAATCTATAAACCGATGTCTACCAGAATATTAAGTCTACCTAATAACCCCTAATATACTTCATCAACCACAATTAATTTATTCATCTTCTTTGTATCGTGAAGAGCGTAAGGTGCGCCTACTACTAACAAATTATTCTCATACAGGCACCTAATGTACCAGCCCTGCCTATAATTGCATAAAATAGCCTTATGCCATTCTGACACTTACACAAACTAATGAATGCAGACTGAAATTACTAAACTGATGAATATTCATTTATTAAAGTATCAACTAATGGATATTCATTTAATTTGTGTTTTAGGTGATTGATAGGAAGGTTCGTGAGTTGTGTGTGGATACTGACATTAGCCCATTGGACACACCAGCATTCATCATCAAAGAAAAAGGCTACAAGTAAGTCACTGATTATTTGAAATTAAAAAAAATAGTATGCCATGATTAAACATAGTTTTTGATACAAATACAAAATAGTTTTATTTTCAACACACATACACAAAAATGTTTTTCACTAGCATTAAGAGAATATTGTAAAACAAAACAAAAAATCTCATGAATATACAGTAAATAATATCTTACCTTTTCTAATGCACAGTATCATTAAATATTGCACTGAAGAAAAATCACAAAACCTATTTGTTAATACTTAACAAAGTTGATCATTGAATTACAGGCCTATTGTGCAGTTACATGGTCTTATTTCATTCAAATATTCACCTATATGCAATTCCTAACACTCTATGTTCAGATTTTAATACCTATACACATACAGTTACACGTTTCATTCATATTTCATTAATTTTAAAGCTTTTCTACATTTGAACTAAACTGCTCATACAGCTTCATGTATCGTATAAATACTATGCCTGTATTATATATAATTTCATATTACAATGTATTTGGGGCTGTATACATTTATACATTTAGTGGAATACTGTAATGTTTATGTAAGTCTTGACGTCATCATTTTCATTTCCACATAATTTTCCTACTAAAAGCTCAAAGCTGTTGTTTTATAACAACAAATTGCTCGGCCAAGCTTGCTCGGTCAAGCTCTGAGCGCACACAATGAACCTAACAAATTTTGCTCTAGAGCATGAACGAAGCCTAGAAGACCACCTACTAAGCTAGGCCTAGAAAGACAATTGACTTATAAAAGTACTGAAAAGACAGTGCAACTCTGAAATAATTCTTTAAAATGTTTACACTACAGTTTTATCTCTTTAATGAATGTCTACTAGGACGTTAGGCCTCCCTAATAATAAACTCAATTTCATCAACCCATATTCAATTTATTCATTGTATTGGAGGGTGCGCATACTACAAGATAATGTCATATGTGCAGCTAATGTATTGATCATATATCACTAACTACTACAACCAGCAGTTTGATTAAAATATATACATATAGAACAAGGTGATTGATTAATATAGCAATTATTGTCAAGTTGCACCGGCAATCATAAAGTAGTGACTTTCTACAATTGCTGCACCAGCAATATCAGGGTAGAGACTTTCTGAAACTTGTAGAGCACCAGCTATCACAACTTTCTGCAATTGCTAGAGCACCAGCAAAAAAAGGGTAGTGACTTTCTGCAATTGCTAGAGCACCAGCAGTAAGAGGGTGGTGACTTTCTGCAATTGCTAGAGCACCAGCAGTAAGAGGGTAGTGACTTTCTGCAATTGCTAGAGCACCAGCAGTAAGAGGGTGGTGACTTTCTGCAATTGCTAGAGCACCAGCAAAA